AACCCTAGGCAGGAGCGCCGCTGTGCTCCCCAGCGGCGCACTGTAGCAGTGCGCCACCGGGCTGGCCCGAAATATGATTATTTGTAGTATATTTAAGGAAAAAGTTTTTAAAACACTAACTTCTAAATTATAAAATTCAATCCCATTTCTAAGAAACTAATATAAAATATAGACTATGTTATTATGAATTAATAAAATTTATCTCAAAAACCTTGAAATCTTTATCAAAATGTACTATGAAACAGGGGTTGTGAACTCAAATACTTCTTCAGGCAAAGTAGATGAACCGAGTAAGTGACGTAACTAGGTGGGGACAGTAGCAAACTGGAGAACACACGTCTCGTATAAGGGGGCAGCCTCTGCACAGCAAACCGAACAGTAATATGGGCTCTGTAAGCCAGATTTGATTCTTTAAGAGAAGGTTGCAATCCAGATTTCTGCACAAGGCTCCTAAATTTAAATGTTGACTCAACTTATAGAGGCAAACTGAACATGTCTATGGGCCTCATTTATTTTATAGCTCTTGCATTTTTGTATTTGCTGTTTCCAGATGGTTGGTATAAAGAATTTGCATTAAAAATCTTTCCTTGCTTTGGTATCATGCTTTACCAAAAAAACCAAGCCCTAATATTTAATAACAATTGCTATTAAGACATGATACCCACTTTCAGAATATTTCCAACACTTAAAAATTTACAATCTATTTGTATTTAATTCTCCCAGATTGTTAAGCAAATGGATAATTAGTTCATAAAACTACTGAGCCTAAATTATTAAAAGGATCCTCATCTGTATACTTACTAACTTCATAGTTTTCAGTGTTTAAAACTGATATCCTGATTATAGAAGAGCTCTATGAACTTAACAGACATACTGAGATAGCCTACAAAAGTTAATGATTTGTTACAATTCTAATCATGAAAACCCTGCTCTTACTATACCTTTGCTGACCTGATGACCTGAATGATAAAAAAAGAGACATGAAATCCTTAAAGGGTCAGCCTCTACTCACTANTACAAAAGTTAATGATTTGTTACAATTCTAATCATGAAAACCCTGCTCTTACTATACCTTTGTTGACCTGATGACCTGAATGATAAAAAAAGAGACATGAAATCCTTAAAGGGTCAGCCTCTATTAAAGACTACTCATAAGCAATTTCCTAAAGACCCTGTGAATGGCAGTGAATTATTGCTAGCTGGAAGGAAAAATATGTTATTCTGTAAGCCAATAAGATATTGCCAATAATATTACTTTTAACTTCCTAGCCATAGAGAGAGAAAAAGACAGAAAAAAAGTCAGGTTAATATTGTTGGAAAGGACAGAGTTGAAGAAAGTATCACCTATCAAACTCTAAGTCTTCTACAGATTTCTTACATTTTTGTAATTAGGGAAACTATATTTTGCACTTATTTATTCAGTGGTTCTTCACAAAGAGTTGTACCATAATTCAGAGGAAATATTTTTAAATATACATAATGGTCCTATTAAATTAACTGGATCAAAATCTAAAGAAGAGGGCCTAGAAGTATAAACCATTTTTAAATTTCCCTGTGTCATTGTGGTGCACAATTCTAGCTGAGAACCAGTGCAGTAAATAATTTAGTCTTATCTCTCACCCACATGGCAAATTCCATCCGTTACCTGGGGCTTTGGCCAAAAAGAGGAAAGAGTAAAAGAGAGAATCACTTCCTGGAAACCCCACTCCATTTTTCTGGATGGAGGTATAACAGGAACTAGTAAATGCAACATGAAAGTTGATTTTGTTATTTTTAAGCTCCCTATCTTCCACCTTCCCATCAGGACTTTCTGAATTTGAGAGCAGTGTTTGGATGCTTATTTTCGCAACTGCTTCTGCTGGAATAGGATTATAT